GATGACGACAATTAGCTTTGGCGACAGAAAGGAGGATGCACCACGAGGAGACATTGTATGCTCGCTCTGGACTGTTCGTATCGACGTCGTTTTGTAGGTTGAACGGCTCGCTTGAGGTGCCACCAAGATCTGGCCTGGGACCCCGAAGCAACATTGAAACTTCGCTTGGCACGTCTTTGGTTGGAGTCGACGAACAATGCTGCCATCATGCTTATGGACGGCACTTGGATGGCACTCGTCGTACACATACTGAGAGCTCGCTCGAAGCGCTCTATTGCTATTCAGTAGCCTTATAGGCTTCCAGGACAAGCTCACCAGCCTTTACTGAAGCAACTTCTGTCTCACGATGCCTCCAGTCGATCCCGTTGGTTGTCGATGCCTCTAGTGGTATACTCAATTCTGACAATACATCGCCAACCAAAGTAGATCCCGTTGATTGTTCCCAGACAAGGTCATTCCAAACAACGGAACATAATACAGCGGACTGCCAATCACCTTCCACCAAGATTCGAGTCTTTCCTTAACCAAACGTGAGCATGTTTACGATGGCAAGGGTGCCTGACCTTCCCATCTTGGAGAATGTACCGTGGTCTCGGTGCCACAGCGATGACTGCAGCCTTTTTTTGGTTATGTAGAAAGCCATAATCGTGCTGTGAAAGACCACTGTCCTTTTCCGATGGGATGGGCTTGTCGTGAACACCTGATATTAGTGAGAGAGCACGCCATGATGAAGGCCGGGCCCACTATGGTAATCGTCCCTCACTAAACGCGAACCCCATCCAAGAGCAGCTTGTGCATTCTGCTCGACTTGCCGCATCATTCCATCGGAAACAGGCACAATCAGGCATTTGTCCATCCATCCAGTACACGGAGTCCTATATGATGCAAATGAAAGCTTCAATTTATTTCTCCAGACTCCGAAAGAAACATACAGCATCCGTCACCCATAGTCGACAAGATCGGTTCTCGACGCGTCAAAACACCATCAGCTGCCCACGATGTTCTGGCAGCGACAGACAGGTGCCACATTTAGGACTTGAATATTTTCGGTGACGACCTATTTGGGAGAAGAAGGAAGAGGGAAGGAGAGCGCAAGATACGGCGAGAAAGGGGATGCATGATGGTCATCATATACCCAGATTTCAGGCACTGCTCCCAGCTCGCCGGGCAGGCACCTACATCCACTGTTATGACTTACGGTAGAGCGGATTGCCACCGTCGTGAATGTCTCCTGATATCGGCGACGACATGACTCTGCGGGAGATTATTTGGACAAGTAGTCCAGCTGATCAGTACAGGAGACTAAGAAAGTCTGTTACAAACAGGCCGAACAGAAAGTCACGAAGAACTTAACATGTAGCGAAGGCGCTAGGCGAGCCAGATGGGAGAAACACCGTGGAAAGACGCGAAATTTACAGTATTTAGGCTCAAGATTGAGGCAATAGGCACTACAAAAGTGTCGAGACGTAGCTCGAGGTAACGGTGATGTGATTCCCATTGGCTTTACATTGTTTTCCAGGTCGTGTAAACACTTTACAATTGCCGTCAAAGGATTGGAGAGGCTCTGTAAAGCCAAGGACGTGGTCAACCGTTGAAGATCGGCAGACCTCCACCGTAGATCGCCAGGACGAAGTGGGGATATGGGCGGTCCGGGCTATGGACACAGGTGGACAAAAAATTGAGACCGGGCGTTCAAAGACAAGTATATGTCCGTGCTGGCAGACGCACGACACAAGAATAAGCCCAGGGAGAGCCGGAAAGCAGTATGACTTCAGATTCTGCTCGTAAAATGGACGCGTCGCCATGGAAATTGTATGGAGCTAATACATCACAGCATTCCCTCCTGCGCGAGAAAGTGAGAGCGACTGGGAGGAGCGATCGAGAAGAAACCGACGACAAACCAATAGAGAGCTGACGCGGACATTGCAAGCAGTAGACAGAGATGAGGACAGCAAGAGCACGGGCGGGGCCAAGTTGACGGCAGCATCCTGGAAACTGTAGCTACTTGGACTCGGATGTGCATATCCACAATATCGCGACCTCCAAGGCGATATGTGCACCAGAGATCCCTTCGTGACAGAGCTAGAGCAGCTTGTACAGAATATAGCCTCATAAGTGTGGACTTCACTTTCTTCGGCACCATTTAGTATCACGAGGAGCTTGTGTGCCAGAGAATATCGGGGGATTATGGTCTTGGGTGGTTTCGAGATTGCGTCTGGTTGGCCATTCTGGCTGGTGATGGTCCGCAGGACAGTAAACAGATTAGTGTTCCGCAGCAAGGAAATGGATTATGATAGCACAATGCCGTAGGCGGTCATATATTAGTGACTGTACTCTGACTGAAATCCACAGGAAGCTTTGAGGCCGCTGGTGGGATGATTCTGACGGGCAGGCGATGGGCGTAAGGGGCGGCAAGAACTTGGTTGCTGTGGGCTGCAGCTGATAGACGACGGGATTCATATCGTTTGTTCGGAGGTACTCATGGCCATCGATGGGCCGAGAACGAGACTATCGTGATTCGTGTTGGCGCGGGTATAGAATGACGGAGGACGGGACACGTATTATCTTCCTATTGACCAAAACCGTCAGCAGAGGGAGGTGAAGGAGGCGGAATCGAGATGCGATGGGTTGCGGGACAAAACGAAAAGGAGTGAATTCTGGACAGCATGCCCAAGAAGCCGGTTTTGTTGACATATTGGTGTTTTCCGAAGCGGTAGGACTTGCCCAAGTGAACAAAGGTGAACGCTGCAAATGTCGACACGTGCGTTTTGCTGAGGGTTGGGCAGACATATCGGCGGTTTGTTTTGGTAGGCGAGATAAAAGAACGAATACAACGAGAACGGAAGACTACAGGGATGTAAGCAGCTCAAAATTAAAACAAGAGAAGAAAGAGAAACTGGCAAATCAAACCAGCAGGGAAGGGACGCATGCGTAATAGTGACGGGAGACTCAGAGACGGTAGTCGCTCCTTCCACATTTACCTTTGCAACCCTTGCCAATACAGCTGGCAACATAAGGCTCCCGCCAAAACTGCAGTCACTGTTTCCTCAATTAGAGGCAAGTTCAGTACCCCGCTGGGGGAGATAAAGGCTATGGCAGAAAGCACAACTTTGGAAGGTTTGCGAAGGGCCTGCAAATAACGACTGCTCTCTCGGTTGCTAATCGGTGTAAATATTATCAAAACATCATTTGTACCCGCAATTTACGTCGATACAGATGCGCTGTAACCGCTTCCATCTGTCGACAAATTCGGTAGAAGTAAGATGTAGCCTGAGGCTGCAATCGTTTCGCCTCGTATGCAAAGGGAGGCACGGCTCTCCAGAGATCCGACATGCCTTGCCACTACACCTGCGCGTCTCCAAGACTTGAGTCCTCTTCGTTTAACCTTTATTAGAGTAACCGCGTCGAAGCAGAACGTCTTCATTACGTCGTCGACAGGTAATTACAAATGGATATACTTCCATTGAATCAAAATGAGGCAGTCAGTCTGGAAGAACAGCTTGCTGGTTGTCAAATAGAACAGTCGTGATTTAGAAGATACTTGTCCACATTGCTTGACAGTGCTGCTCTAGAAGTCGGACTTCTCGTAGAGAGAATACTGTCAGTCGATGTCCTCTGCCGGAAGTGTCGCTCGCTTTGTTTTATTGATGAGGCATTGGCGATCCCTTTGAGGTTGGTCAGCATGACGACTTGTCGTTGGCCTAAGAGTTATCTCTGAAGGTACCACTTCTAGAATCTCGCTGGTATTGTCGGTATTGTAGAGCAGTCTCAGTAAGAGCTAGAACATATCCTCAAATTGTCCTTGGAAATCTGTAAGCAGCGATCAGCACTGCCCGAGATCCAAGTATGACGTCCAGGGTTCGAGTAAACATGAAGGGAAGGGGCCCCAAAAGAGCCGAAACAAGGATTAGGTGGAATGTCACGATAGTATTCGAGCAAAGCTAGACAGCCTCACGTATAGCGGCGGGAAGTCACAAAGCCATGGTCGAGCTTCCTCGGAGGCCGTGCTGTCCGGAAATGGAGCTCTGTTTGCTGGTGATGTTTGGGTCGATTCAAAGCAACATGGCTTTGGTCATTTCTGTCATGTAGTCGCGATATATCGCAGAATCGAAAATAGCTGGTCGACATCGAAATAGCCCGGCAGCAGCCTGCTCAGAGCAAATATATCTATCATAGTGAGCCGACAAGAGATCTCCCTTGGTACATGCTAGAGACGAGACGTGCAATCCAATAAGTCGGCAAAGATGGCGTCTTTTTGTCAATCTAGCTGGTATCTCGAGAACTTGGAACCGCATCATGACAGAAGAGTGTCCGAGATGTCTCAAATATGCAATAGACAAGCTGCTGCACCGCCATCTGAGCCGGGTAAGTCAAGCAGAAGCTGTAGTAAATATGGTCGGTATCAAAAGCACTTGCAAAGGGTGATGGTAATGTTCACGTACCTCTACAGCAACGCGAGATTTTGGACGAGTTAATCTATATAGAGACGGGCTGGAGAGTTGCAGACAGACGTGCATAAAAGTAGATAATAGAGCATCCGGATCGACGAATATATAGAGCTGTCATGCCCGAAGAAATGGAAATGGACAGGTGTTCGGACGCGCTTTTGCAATATTAACGAAGGGAGGAACTAAACCGGAGACATAAATGAGAGAGAGAACAGGGGAACATGAAAACAACTGTGGCAAACAGGTACGAGCATTGACGCACATTTGTTGGGTGCTTGGACAACCATATCGAAAAGTGACTTGCGCTTTCCGCATTTTGAAATACATGTGTACAGCAAAGGCTCCTTCCCCATTTCCAAAAAGTCACGAGCGAAATCGGTTAGTCAGATACCTTATTACATTAAGAGGACAACATCATTTTGCTTCTGCTATTCTCTCAAGACTATAAGCTACGCAATACATGTTTATTATATATCTGCCAGTTTACTACGGCTCGCTGGCCACCAGCCTCTATCGGCCCTCCTTTTGAGCGTACGTCACTACATCTCCACACTACGCATCTGTGGCAGGAGCGTTCTTCCCAAAAACCATTTCTAGCAGCTTCTCCTTCTCCGCGCTTTTCTTGGCCAGCTCCCAGAATGCGCCTGTGCTATCCGAACGTTCCTCGTCTGGCTCCGGCTGGCCAGCCTCAGCCGCTTCCTTGGCCCTCGCGGCCCGCCTCTCGTCCAAAGCCATGCCGCGCTCCATAAGTTCCCGAGGTGTGCCCATCTCAGCAACGCGACCTTCCCGAAGAACTAGTAGACGATCGAAATCGACCACTGTGCTCAAACGGTGAGCAATGACGAGCACCGTGCAGCCACCCGAGGCAAACTCCCGCCGGAGCGACTCTTGGATAGCACTGTCCGTTCCGCGGTCCACGGCCGAGGTCGCCTCGTCCAGTACGACAATCTTTGGCCGCGTCAAAAGAGCACGCGCGAGGCAAACGAGCTGGCGCTGGCCCTGCGAGAGGTTGCCACCGCCCGTGGAAATGGGCATCGCTAGGTTCGTGAAGCTGTTGACTTCGTCGTCAATGGCGCTCTTAGTAACACTATCGACGTCGCTGGAATTGCCGTTGCTACCGCCCTGTGCCGTGGTCTCGCTGCTCTCTCCCTCGGGTGTCCTTGAGCCCACGTCGGTTGCAGAGTCTGAAGCAACAACCGTCCCATCGATCGGATTTGCCGCGTCTTCTTCGACTGTAGTCTCCTCGCCATTTGACGGCAGCAGACGGGCGACCTCCTCACCCGTGTGGTCTTTCACCAGTTGAGCCCTAGCAACAGGGTCGAAAATAGAGCCAGCTGCTTCCCCAGAAGGTTGCGCGCCGTCCTCGACCTGGGGCTCGACAAGGTGGACACGCTTCAATACGTGGTGCAGGTCATAGTCATCAATGGAGTCCTCAACGTCGAGGTTCGAGCGCAGCGTTCCGGAAAACAGGAACGGATCTTGAGGAATAATAGCTAGCCGGCTACGCAGCTGGTCTAGCTTGAGTGTCGAGATGTCGATGTTGTCGATCCGAATGGTGCCTTCTTGCGACTCGAGAAGACGGAAGAAAACGGCAGCAAGAGTCGACTTTCCTGCACCAGTACGCCCCACGACACCTATGCGCTCGCCAGGTTGCACTTCGAAATTGAGCTCCTTCAAGACAGGGGGCAGGGATGGTCCGTAGCTGACGGTCAGGTTCTCCACCTCAATATGTCCCTTGGTCGGCCACGCCGCAGGCACATCGCGGCCACCTTCGGACTCGGTATCGATATCGATGTACTCGAGGATTCGTTCCGCCGCGTTGAATCCGAGCTCGATGCTGGTAACATTGGCAAGTAGCCGGGATAGAGAGCTTGTGTAGCGCAAAGCGAATACAAGTCCGAAGCCCGCCAAAGATGCTTCGACATTTCCAAAGACAATGCAACTGGCCACGGCCGTTACGAACACGGCGCCAAACATGCCCATGCGGAAATTCATCCACCGAGCTAGAAGCTGCAGCGCCCAGCTTGCCTTGGCTGAATTATCGATGAGGCCGAAGACACGGTCCATGTAAAAGTCCGTTCTGTGAAAAGCGCGAATGGTAGACAGGCCCGTTAAGACGGAGCTGAACTGGTCATACACGGGCGAGTGCGCCACAGAGTTGATGCGCTTCGCTTCGCGTGCGGCAGAGATATACACACTGGCGATACGAGCATACAAGACAAGTAGACCAATACCGAAGATAATAATAAAGGGCGACACAGACACGCTATGGCAGTTAGCAAAGGAATGACAAATGAGAAACAGCAGATGATCAAAGGAATGTCGCTAACCTTGCTGCAATAATCACTACAAGTCCAATGGCACTCTGAAGGAACGAACTCAAATCACTGGCGAGACGCCGGTCCACAGTGAAAGTGTCGGAGGTGAAGCGGTTCAGGACACGGCCAGTAGGCGTCTTATCGATCCAGCTAAGAGGAGCGCGGAGGATCGAGTGCGTCATCTTCTCGAACAGAACCCGCGAGGCACGCAAGCCCGTAAACATGATAAGCAGCTGCTGCGCGATACTAACAATTAGGGTGGAGTAGTCAAACAAGACATAGGCCGTGATCCAGAAAATAATGTTTTTGCGGTAATTAGCGTCATCATCAACCGGGACTTGTTGCGAGACTGTCGGCAGGAACGTAACCGCCGGGGCGCGAATCTGCCAATCCCACTCAGGCTCAGCAGTTTGAGTATATAGCCGATGGCTAGCAATGCTCGGTTCGATATCGTAGCTGGCTGAGAGCTCCTTGAGGGTCCATGTGGTGGCAACGCTAAGCAGCCGACTCGAAATCAGCAGAGCGAGAATGAGCAGCCAAAGGAGCAATGACTTGCTAGCACGGACATACTCCCGGTATACTCGGGACTTGACACGGCCAGTCTCACGGTCCTCAGAATCCTTCTTCTTGTCATTGGCAGCCTTGTCACCATCACCGTCACCGTCACCGTCCCCTGTCGTTGCTCCACTGCTATCTCCTCCAGCTGGCTCGTCTTCCTCGGCAGGAGCAAAGGTTTCCGCGGGCGAGCTTTTATTTTGGTCGCGCTCGATCTTCTCCACTCCCTCAACACGGCCACTATCGAGCCGTACAAGATAGGAAGCGTAGGCCATGCACATTTCGGGATGGTGGGTGGCGAGGATTCGTGTGCGGCCTTTAGCAAGGTCACCGGAAAGCGCTTCGTTCACAATGTTCCGGCCGACGTGGGTATCAACAGCACTCAATACATCATCGAGAATGAGGATACCAGCGCGAGAATATAGAGCACGTGCGAGAGCAACGCGCCAACGTTGCCCACCGGAAAGCGTGACACCCTTGGGTCCAACCTCGGTTGCGTCGCCGTCAGCCAGAAGCTCAATGTCCTTGGCTAAGGCACAGGCTTGGAGAACTTTGCGGTACCGGACTTCCCGGAACGGCATACCAAAAAGAATGTTGTCTTTGAGTGTACCACTTTCCACCCACGGTGACTGCGACACAAACGCCGTGAGCGACGGCAGGACCCAATCGCTTTCGTTGATGTTCTGGTTTTCGATCACTGAGACAGGCGGGGCCGTTGGGACTCGCACAGTACCAGACAACAGCTTCACCTCGCCGAGGATGGCGGCCAGGAGAAGGCTCTTGCCAGCACCAGTCTTGCCAGTGATAAGACTCAACTCTCCGTTGGGAAACGCGACATCGATGTTGCGCAGGATCGAACGCGTCTCTTCTGGCGCAACATTTGTACCGGCATTGTCTGTAACAGACGATTGTTCAGGGGGAGGAGAAGCAGGTGCTGCGGCTAGTACGGGCGATTCGCCGTTGGCCGGGACGTCGGAATCCTCAACGCGAGGCCACCGCACAGTGGCGTTGTCAAAGACTACGCTGTCACCTTGGTCGGCGACAGGTGCTTTGTCGGGTTGGTTGAGGTACTTCTCAACACGAACACAGCTTGTCCAAGCCTCCATGAGGTACACCTGGATCAGAGGTAGGTATCCGATGGCCTCGTCCAGTTGGTCAAACAAGCCAAGAGAGGCGAAGATCACCGAGGCACGAACGTGGGTCGGCGTTGTAAACGTGTACACTGCAATAGAAATGCTAGAGAGCATAATGGGTCCCGTGTTGATAATAAAGCTGAGTGAGCACATCCACTTGGCCACACGCCAAAACTGCCGCAGCTCTTCGTTGCGGCTCTGGATGATCTTTTCTTCGTACAGCTGCTCAAGAGCCGAATATTTGATCTGGCGCATACCTTGCAACGCCTCAGTCAAGACATGGGCCTTGGCATCGCGGTACTTCATGAGGCCAAACTGGATCTTTGCGTACTTCTTAGACATCACATGGCTGATGGGGTAGACCAATAGAGCGCATGAGAAGCCAGAGAAAAACGCCTTCCAACCAAGAAACTTTATCAAGACGGAGCCGGCAAGGATCAGCTTAAAAATAGCGAGAGGAAACCAGTAGTTGTATGTGCAAAAAATCATCATACGGCCGCTGTACAAAATTAGAAAAAAAATCGCAGTTGTTAACAGCATCCAATTTGAAAACTGACCTGTCGAGTTTCATGTGGTTCACAACAGATTGGCGGACGTCGCCCTCTGGCTTTTTAGGTCCTTTCTTGTCCTTGTTTCCTGTCTTTCCATCGCCTTCGGCAACTTTGTGGCCGGGGTCAGCAGCCTCGTCAAGACGCAGAGCCTTCTGGAAAATCAGAGTCTGGACCAGCGAGTTCAGTGGTGCCTCAAGATGGCTCGATGTGAGCCAGCGTTGTGCGCTGCCAATCCAGATCTGAAGGACCAGGCTGACACCAATGCCAATAACCCAGCCCCAGAGTTTTGGGTTGGCAGCCTTGTTGCCCCCTTCGTGGTTATCCAGCCCCTCGAGGAACTGGTAAATGACAAACTGTGGGAACAGGGCCAAAACCGAACGAACGAATGTCAATGCCCACTGCAGGAGCAACGGCCACTTGTACGCCACCAGAAGCTGCCACCAGAGACGGCCTTTGGGACCACCGGCACTGCCACCACGGGCGAGATAGCGTTCGTTCACACAGGATGAGCGAGTGTTGCCGTCAAGATTGGGTAGGTCCTCAAGCTCCAGTTTCCGTGCGTTGGCAATGTCAAAAACGATTTTATTCCAGTTGAAGCTGAAGCGAGAGAGAATAGATACGGCATGTTGCTGATCAACCAGGTCGCCCTTGTAGTAGACGTCGGGGCGATGGGGAAACGTTGCGAAGCATAAGGTAGCGACCAGAGCAGCAAGTACTTGCACGAGCCAGCAGACGGCCGTGCCAGTGGCAAGCCCGTCTTCGGCAGCCACATTTTGACCAGCCAGGATGTGCACAATATTGTAGCCGTAGCGGTATCCGAGAGAGCCGACGAGCAGGGCGCTCGACGAAAACGCGATGATAGAAAGCACCCACCGCTGGTCGTACTGTTCTTTGGCCGGGGTGCTGGCCAACTGGAGGCAGATGAAGGCCCATGCAGGGACGTCTGCCCAGTTGTCGAACGCGAAAAGCCAAGGCCGGTCTAACGATGCGGGTGGTGCTGTAACGAGTGTCAACAGTATCGCCGATGTGATGGATGCTGCAAGGCCGAGATACAGGCTGAGATATGCGCCAAGACGAGGCTGCCGATCGGAAAATGCTGCCACAGACGCCTCGGTAGCTTTGCCGTCTGCACTCTCAAACAGCTGTGGGACGACCTCATATGCACCGTCGCCTTGAGCGCCGCGGTTGCGCCGCGCGAATTGGGCTTTGGTCCAAAGCTGGTGGAGAGATGGGAGCGACAGTAGGAAGACAAGGCCAAGGTTGCTGGCACCCACGATAGGATGCAGCAGCGCCCAGCTTTCGTCGTCCATTGCTGCTACCATTTACGACCAAGCCTGGCGCAATTGAGGCGAGTCGTGTGGGACGTCGCTTCGGTGACTGTATGATGGTTTGAAGATTGTAAAGAGTGAACTTTGGTGGCGAACCGCCTCCTCTGCGGAATAGTCGATACCGAAGGTGTGCTCGAGAGAGGCGCGTGTGCGGTTCGGGTGCCTAGTGGCGAGCACTGCGGAGCTAGACACTGTAAGAAGGCCGGCTGAAACCCCAAACTCAACAAGGGCAGTGGCATAAGGCTTATGCAAGACCCATTGACGCAAATGATCCACTAGCGTGGCTGTCTGGGTCGATCGGAAACCGACTGACGATGGAGAAATGTGGAAAAAGAAAGGGGCAAGGCAATGCAAATAGGAAAATGGAGAAAACGACTAGGCGAGACTGCGACAAAGGTTCGACTGCCCCCCCAACTTTCTGGATAAGTGCGGCAGCCGAGTCGGCGCCGCCTTGCTAAGGTCTGTGGCTCTGGCTTCGTCCAGACACTTTGGTTCAACGGTGTTTTGGGTGTTGAATAGAACAGACAGTGAGCGGATGGCCAGGTCACCTAAGCGAAGAAATTTTGGTTTTGCAAGGCAACCAACAAAACAGACAAATGCAAGGACACAACGCTGCATGTCAAAAGGCAAAATGGGAAGCAAGAGATAAGAGACGGGAAAGAGCACTCACGAGACATCCATTCTTTCTGCGGAAGGCACACGGGCCACTACATGAGTTAGACAATGGAAGATTGCCCACATCTACAAACGGACAAAAGTGGGTCCTCCATGACCGCCTTGCTCGGCGAACAATCCAAAACTCCGAGCATGTCCAATTCGTCAAAGTCCCTGGATTTGACACGTTGGGAGAGGAGAACAAGCCTGTATTTCAAAAAGTAAGTCCTATAATTTGCGGAAACCAGCTGCAGCATCCGCTCGTGGTTTCGCTTACCGTCACAAATAACAACCGGGCCTGAGCTGTGTGAGATGCATCGTGAGTCGAGAACCACCGGCGGCAGTTCTTTGGTCGACCCAATCAGCCATTGGAGGGGTCATTTTGGCAACAGCAGCCAGGCTTCAAGGCAGAAGAAAGACACGGTTTGGTGCCTTTAGGCACATCCTCCTTTTAGAGCGTGCGACTTCGAACTGCTCGAGTCCATAGAGGAGAGGGCTTTGAACAGAAGCAGTCAGCAAATTTGTTTCCTGACGGGACGACCAGTGAGGCCCAAACACGTCTTGGATGCGCTCGCTGCAACGTCGAGCTCGCGCAGTGCCAGGCAAATGTCTTCTAGCCAGCAGATCCTTCAATACCGACGGCACACTGCACAGATGGTAAACGGCAAATCTGAGCCGGGCAAGCTTGACTCGTCAGTCAGAGGACGTCCTCGTGCTGCTCAGTCGAGTATTGGCAGAATCCTTATGCAAGAAAAACAGTGGCGCTGCTCTGCTCCTCTGCCTCTTCTTCCCTTTTCTTCCGTACCTCTTTACGACCCTAGCCCGTCGCTCCGTAACTGGCAGCCTTTCACGTGACGCATCTTAGGACCTGCAATGAACATCGAAGCTTGGCGAGGCTGTTGGCGCAAAACCATCGCGAGCCCAAAGTACATTACAGTCTTCGAGGAAGTGAGTCTCGGACGTCGAGCAGTGTTGTGACCGGGAGTCGCACACGGGGATGTGACGGTAGAACGTAAATGTGCGTTGATTCGTTGGACAGCCAAGTGGCCTGATTTGGCTTGCATCTCATCAAGCCACAAACTATCCTCGCAAAACTGTCAGTAAAGAGCATCGATGGTCTCAAGTGGATTGTGATGTCTCCTGTTTTATCAAACACAGAAAGTGCTCAGAAAGCAGGTTGGTATGAAGCCAAACAATGTCAATGGCCGGAAAATAGAAGGACTCGTTGTCAGCTATGGACTGACAAGATCATATGGCAGTGCATCGTGTCAATGGATGCTTTCTACCGGTCACTGGTTGGCCGAACATGGTAAGCTATGGAAATGTGTCAAGGCTTCCCCTAAGACGGACGCTACTATTGTTGTTCTTGTGGAGAAGCCCATCAGCCACGAACACGACACTAAATAGGAAAGTGCATCGAGGGGGATAATAGCAAGCAATAAGGAAGGAACGACCAGCATCGTGAGCACGCCCAGCATGCCTGGCCAGGTACCCAGAGAGGCGCCAGCAATGAGCCACAAAAACCCTTGCCACACCCAAAGGGCCTTATTCCCTCCATTTCGTTATTATTTCGTCCTTGTATTCTATAAAGTGGCGTTTTGTTTCTACACCAGGTACACCATCACCAAGTCGCCCAGTGTACGAGGCAATGTCCTCCAGCATTCTTGGCTACACAGGTCTATGGGCCCCTCAATGTACCGTGTTTTGTATTATTTCTCTCTCTCCTGTTGTCGTTCTCGTTCCTTGTCGTTCTCTTCCATTGGCTGCGCCCTTATATCTTTTTCTTTCTTTTCTCCTTCTCATCATCCTTTTAGTTTCTTTATCTTTCGTGTTCTCATTTACCTTTACTTCCTGTCCCATGTCTTAACCATCCTCCTTTTCGTCTCCTTACCTTTGTGATCATCTGTTGCCCTGTTCTCTTTACCGTCGTCGAACAATTCTTTTCAGCAGTGAGACACAGCTGAGGTGGATCTCTGCCGTCGCAGAGACGGACAAGCCGCAGCGATGGTCCGCAACTACGGCATGGAAGAGCCTCTCTTCGTGATTGTCATCACCTTCCTCGCCCTGGCCTGGGTCACTTGTTTTCTCCGCGCCTGGGCCAAGCTCGTCGTCCTCCGCAAAGTCACGGCCGATGACTACCTCATGCTCTGCGGAATGGTAGGTTTTTCTTCGTCTCGTGTCTCTAATTGAATCAAATTTCCTTCACCAAACCTGACAATTTCTTACCTAGGTCTTCTACACCGGGTACGCGGCGTCCGCTCTCTACGGAGTGACACATGGAATCGGCACACTAGGCGAGGGCATGTCACTTGAGGAGGCTTCGATCGGCCTGCGTGCTTGGTGGCTCTGCGAGATGCAATACGCGCCCGTCACACTCTGCGTCCGCACATCGGTGGCCGTTTTCCTCCTTCACATCGCTGTCCAACGCGTTCATCGCCGCACCATCATCGCCGTGATAGTAGCCTTTTGGGTTGTTACAATCCCCCTGTTCTTCGTGGCCATTTTCCAATGCCGGCCCATCTCCTACTTCTGGATGCAACCCTTCCCAAGCGTCCCGCGCGGCACCTGCGTGGACGGGCGAGTCATATATATCGTGTCTGTCGTGCACTCCGTCACAAGTGCCTGCTGTGACTGGACACTCGGCATCCTTCCTGTTTTCATGCTCTGGAAGGTGCGACTCAACGTGAAGACCAAGCTCTCACTCTTTATGCTCCTTAGCATGGGCGTTTTGTTAGTTCCCAAACTCGTGTTTTCATTTTCTCCATAATCTACTAATATATATTTTTGAAGCGCTGGCATAGCTCTCATCGTTCGAGTCGTCTACGTCCGGCCATTTGAGGTTTCTGTCAACTTCCTCTTCGAGACCCTGTGCGTGCCACTGTCTGCTCCCAGGAGACACTCTCTCCTCCAGATCCTAACATAAGTTTAGTAATGTTGCCAACTGGTCCATCCTAGAGCCTAGCATTTGCATCATCGCCGGCTGCCTAGCCACTCTCCGTCCTATCTTCAGCTGCTGTGGTTGGAACAGGGATACGCGGCACTCAATAAGGACGCCTGTCTGGTGCCAAAATACAAGCTCCCGCTACCGAACCCCCAACAAATGCAAGAACAGCCGAACCATCGGCGGCCCCCTCGACCCCGTATCCAATGGCAACAAACAGGTGCTTTCTAAACCCTCATGGCACGTTCACGGCCTCCGGCGCTCACCCCGGCTAACAATGGATGAGGAGTGCACGGAATACGAGCTGATGGTGAACAACGAGAAGGACAAGCACTTCGCCACGGACAGAGTGTGTGACATGGAAGACCAAGCTGACAGACGGGCGACCCACCTTGGCCTGGGTGACGAGGTGTATGACGATGTTGATCTTGGAACCCCTGTGACCAAGCAAAATCACATCCGTCGGTCGTTGGCAGCCAACGCGTCTATCAACTCCGGCCAGTCAGTCCGATTCTCCACTCCATCCTCCCTGGGCACTCCGTTGCGGTCCCAGCAGCAGGTCAACCGCCTGTCACAGTGGATTGATTCACATGGGCAGCATCCACTGGCATCCTCGCCAGTAGCGGCGTCTCCTCTCTCAGCACACGCTCGGGCAACACCGCCTTCGCCGCCTCCGCCTGCTCCCATCATGTCACCATCACCATGTCATATCTTTGTTAAGCAGCACACTGTTGTTGAGTACAAGGACTCACCGAAGTCATCCGGCACCCTTCCTTCGCTTCCTATGAGCGCCAAAATCCCGCCAATGCCTGAGCTTCCTCGGGACACTACGATGAGTTCGATCGCCACCGAAAAATCATTCGAAGACTGTGCATTTGGCGAGCATTCAGTGAAGATTTCTGGGCCAAGCACGAAGCTCTGAGGAACACTCCCATACATTACTTCTGCCTTATGAGGGTACCAGGGAGGCTGTCACCAGTATGGGCCGCAATCTCTATCAACATGTATTTTCTTTGCAATTTATCCTTGCCATAACGACATTTCTACAAGTAGCTGTCAAAATAAGGACAATTTTATTTCTTGCTCCAGCTCATAGTATTAATTGACACATGTCTTTATACAACACTTTGTCTACGGCGTGTTATAACTACGAGATCGAAGCCAATCAGATTTCTTCCTCTACCCGGTATACTCCATCGTCCTCTATTTTAGCCCAATTAGTGCTCTGGGAGCGGCCCTCCAAGCGTCTTATTGCCGAGGCGGCCGTAACAGCCCATAGCGCCGTCGACGTCGACAAGAATAATGTCTTGATGTTGTCAGAATTCTGAAATATGTCGATGTATGGTGCGTGTAACTCACTAAGATCCAGGGTGCTGGTCGTAGGCCGGCGCCTGTGGCTGCTGAGGCAGGTGCACTTGAGGCTAAGAGTGAGGCCCTTCTTGTAGGCATCGGATCCCGTGCGGCCAGCAGCGTGAGGATTGGCTGGGAGGCGCGAGAGGGAGGTCTCGCAGCCCGAGCATGATTTCTGGAAGTTGCCACTGAACGTGTGTATTGGCATCAGTATAGCAGCTGTTTGGGGCTGTCTGACGGAGGAGAGACTTACTTTTTTTTACCAACCAGGTTGCCGTTGCTGTTTGCGATGCACGCATCGAGATCAATCCTTGAGTTGTCAGTGGAACCCAGGATCCCCTAGAGACACATGAGGGACACCTACCACGTCCAGTTGTAGCCAAATGACGCTGTGTTCAGGTTGTTGCAGTACATGCCCAAGTAGCTCTGGTTCAGCTGAGCCGTTTGGATGTTGCACGAACCGGCGAAAGCGAGCTGGCCGGCGACCAGTTGAGGTATAGCAGCGAGCGTGACGGCAGTGGTAACAAGAGTTTTGATACCGGTCTGGTGTCGGTGTGTGAGGAGCGAGAGACACCCTCCGCTCGAAGAGGGAGATGGCATAGTAGCGACGCTGGAGTGGGATGCAAAGATCGAGACGCAATGAGAAGATGCGATACAATATTGAAAAGGTATGTATTATATCAAATTCTTTGGACAGATGAAATACGGCAACGTTCTCCGGGGAAAAGCACGATGATTAATATATAGATGGATTTTTCTCAATCTGTTTGACCTGCATCCCCCTTTTTGTTTTTTTCCTCTTTGCCTTTTGGTCCCCTTTCTTCACTTTTAGTTTCTGAACACGAGACACTCGGTGTCATGACTACAAAGAATAAAGCCACGACGGGCAATCATTCTGAGATGTTCGGGGCATAGGGCGCCAGTTTTGGAGACATGTTATGCGAAATCCCCTTTTCCGTACGCAGTGTGAACAACATTGGTTCTTTTGGTGGCTTGGGATTGAGAGAATACAAAGACATCTCTGAACCACTGACTAGGTCCACGTTGCATTATGCCGTTGTGCGTAAAGGTTCACATTGTCCAACCGTGATGTGTATGAGAGTAGGCGACCAATTTGCTGTCAATCTACGTACCGTACGCGTCGACACTAGTAACACTTCACATTGCTCTCGAGTAAAGCAGCAGGCATACGCGTCAGACAGGAGGACAGGAGAGTATAAAATGAGACACGTCACACATAAGCGAGTGTGGTTAATTCACGAGCAGAGAGGAGCCAAACCTTTTGTCATCCACGTTTCTCGCCTATCCCTGATTCCTTATATTGTTTGCTTTTCTGTTGTTGCGCCGGAACACGCCGACAGATTAGGATCCCCCCCCCCCCCCCCCAACAAAAAAAATACAAAATGTACCAAAACAAAACAGGGAGAGAAGAAATGTGTAACATAAGCAGAAAAACCTGCGTAATGGAACACAATTTGTTGGTGTCAGTCGACCGTCCCTGAGTTCGCTTGGGTTCGGACTGGGCACTCTGGTACAAAAGCACAGCCAAGAGGGACCACGGAGTGCAGGGGGGCGACCGAGGACGAAAGGACGAACAGGGGACAAGAGAGAGAGGGGGGGAGAAAAAAAAAGAAAAGAAAGAAAAAAAAGAATAATAAAATAAAATAAACTGGACTATGGGGGGACTCGACCTGTCAGCTGAACTTGTCAGACGGCGGTGCCCCAGCATGAAAATGCAGCTACAGCAGTGCAACCCAACCTAGATGATGCAGGTTGATATGGAGGTGAAGAGACGCAGTCCAGTTAATATAAGAATCGCTGGAGAAGGCACGAAAAAAATTATATACAAATGGTCGACTGTGTTATCAGCAGAGACGGCCGCTGTCAAAAACTAAGTCAACCAATCACAAGCATTCTCACACCTGCAAGTGCGCGTGAGCACGCAAAGTAACACCCGGGATCTTGGAGAAACGCGGTTCAGTCGATCGAATGGGTCAATTCTGGGGCTCAGTCTTAAATTTTGCCAGTAGAAGTCCAGGCCATTGATTAAAACCGGGTTCGAGGCGCGGAAAAAGAAGCAGTTTATCACTCATCCGGGTAGATCAATACGGTCTGCAAAGAGACAACAGACGGGAAATTATCAAGCGTAATCCACAAGCCACCAGCCACAGGCACAAAGTTATTAATATATAGTTCAACCAAGTTCGTAGAGGTTTGTATCTTTTCTCATTTTTTTCTCTCGTAGTGGAGTTATGCCAAAAGATATGAATCTGTTTGGAGGAAACTATGCAAATGCAAAGACGTGATGAGAAATCGCAAAAAGAAAAGAAAATGAAAACAAGCGTATGTCTGCAGTCAGCAAACAAAGGAGTATTAGAGCCAGAGAATCCCGTGACAAAATGAGTTTGAAAAAGCAAAAGACGTGAGAAATTGACAAAAAGTAAAGAAAAAAAGGGAGCTACCCGTGTAAGGGTACCTTGGTAGAATTGAAGGAAAATATGTCCATTGTCAACCTCGCGAAAAGAAGGGTATGTACGAGGCTAAACAAGAAGGTAGCAAAGAAATATAAAAGTTGCTGAAACAAGCCACACACTTCCAACGTCTAGGGCCCTTTTTTATCGCGTCTCCAGCATTCTACCTCTCCACCTTCACACAGCCGTTATCTGGTCGTGGGCCTCACAGATGCCAGCGTCGTTCTCCAAGAAAGTCTTTCATAAAAGAACTTTTACAGAGCGAAGATGGCAACGGCCAGGCCACCGATCAGAGTGACGAACGAGCCGGCACCCAGGGACTTGGCATCGTTGGTGGCAACAGTGGAGGCAGTGCCCGTGGAAGCGGAGCCGGACTTGGTAGCAGTCTCGGTGGCAGTGATGACAGTTTTGGAGCCACTGGGCTTGGAGGTGGTGATGGTGCCGTTGCCAGCAGCCGAGGTCTTGGTGGTCAGAGTAGTCTGGGCAGACGAGCTGGATGACGAAGTGGTAGCGGTGGTCTTGACCGACGACGAAGAAGAGGACGACGACGACGACGAGCTGGAGGTGGTCTTGGTGGTGCCAGTAGGGGCCGATGTGCCGGTGGTAGTGTCAGTGGAAGAGCCGCTGGCCGAGGCCGAACCAGAGCTGGAGGCAGCGCCGCCCGAGATCTTGAAAGGGAAAGAGTACTCCAGGATGCTGGGGTCGGAGTCCAGGGTGATCTCAATGCCGTAGTTGGCCTCAGCACCCAGGGACTTGGAGACGGCCCAGGCGAACTCGCCGGCAGAGTTGGCAACGCCAGCTGTAGACATGTTAGTACTCAAGGACAATGTTGATAGTGCTGTTTTCTCTTTCTTAAATTAGGCGTAACGTACCCTTGATGACGGAGACCGTCTGCAGACCCTTGGGGGTAGCGCCGCCGAGCAGCGTTAGGGTGATGGTGTCGTTGTTGTACTCGGCGGTGGGAACCCAGGTGATGGTGAAGGTCTTGCCAGCGGGGACGACAGAGCCCTCGGTTGGCTTGGTGATGACGTCGAAGTTGGCGGTCTGGGCCAGGACGGCGCTGGCGAAAGCCAGAACGGAGGCAGCAGTGCAACGCATTTTGACAGTTGTTGAATTGGTGATAGTTGTGATGGAGACGTTGAGCGAAGTGATAGTAGAACGAAAATATCGATGTATGAAAGAAGGTAGACAGTTGGATATGAAAGTCGAAAGTGATATACAATGATGATAATGAATGATAGAGAAGAACCGAAAAAAGCGAAGGAATGTGGTATTTGTATAAACCAAGAAAAGAGCGTGTATTCCAGAAAGAGGCTGACGATCCAAAGAAAGGGAGGAGTAGAAAGAGAAAAGAGAAGAAGGGAAAAGCGAAGTGTGGGCGTGTGGGCATTATGAGGGAACACTTTCCAAACTGGGCACGCCCGTCCATCACACGATGACCATAGCGCTGGGGAAATAGCCAGGCCACAACGGGGGGAAAACTCTGACTGGATGTGCCTCAGTTTGCAATCCTTCGCGCTGCGACCCAGCGTTAACACCAATTTGGCGTATGCCAGGGTGTGAAGAGTGACGGTCGAGCCTTTTCGAGGCAGGCCTTTTTTGCGCCTCACGATAGAATGGCGCCTTCCAATGGCATTGGGCCAAGCCCACAAGGCGCCAGCTCCGGTCCAGGCCACGCGAGGCCTATCCTTCTGGCCTATGATTCCAGCGGATCTTCGGACGACGCGGGCCTTGTCTGGCCTTCTTCGCCTGTCTCAGTGGAGATCGCCCTTGACAGGCTTCATCTCTTCAGTGGGACCTTGCAACTGCAGGAACCGTTTTTTGTGCATAGCTGCTGTGGAAGAATCAGGTGCATACTGCATGCTGTGGAGTGGCCCGTCTTTCGCTCTGGTTGCCTAACTGGTCCACCGTCAACAAAACCGTTGTCAATGAGGGTGGCTCGCAGGCTCTTCGAAGTGTCGTGTAATTCATAAGATTGGAAGAGGAAAAAGGGGAAATCGCTTGCCCAGGGGCTGGTGGATGATTTAGGTGTGGGTGGAGCCAGCGAGCCTAGCGTTATTTTTGTTTTCTTTTTCCTCTTTCAATGTGAACTTTCCCATCA